GACCTGGCTCCAGGCTGCTTTTCCAAGTTTGTGTTGTTATCCCTGTTGTCTGGAATGTTACCTATTTATTTATTCAGTAATTCATCAAAAAAGTAGTTTTTGAAGACTTCATATCTGCCTGCCACTGTTCTGGATGCAAGACAAAGTCCTTGCTTGTAGACTTTCTATTCTAGAGAGGAGACGTAAACACATAACAGAATGGGATTATTTCACATAGAAGCAAGTACTGTGGGAAAAAAAAAATAAAAGTCCACGTATTAGATAGTTATTCACTCAGAGTGGGAAGTTAATGTTAATTTGCATTGGGGTCAGGTGAGGCTTGAGAGAGGTGTATTTGAACTGGACCTTGAATGACAGAGGCCAAATATCTGGTATAGGGCATTTCAGGCCCTATCCCACATGTTCTATTTCAAGTGAGGAAGCCGTTCTCTCTCTAGCTTTTTCTTCTGTCTCTTAATCGTATTCTCCTTTCCTTAGCTGAAAGGCATGGCTGGAAACCCAGCATGAAATTATTAGAGTTACAGTTAGAATAGAAGGAAAGGTTAATTGACATTTTGAAGAAAAAATAATAATATGACTTCGTAGCCTATGGGCAGAGGAGGCTAAGTGTCAGTGGAGGACCCAGGTTGTAAGCCTTGGAGTCTAGAGTCTTGAATGTGGGAGTGGAACTTGTGTAAATGGTTGTGCATTTGCTGCTTTGGAGTTAATTCCAGGAATTATATTTTTCATCTCTTAGACTTGTTGGTGGAATTATTTAGTTGAAATTCTTGTTGTCGTTACTTTCAGTTTCAGTTTGTAAATATTAAGTGGACCTTTCATTTTGATGCAGTGAACATCAGAAAGCACGTATTTTGATATGACATTTTGTAGTTGTTGCCTAAATAATTGTATTGTTAATAGCTATTTACACATTGGCAGAACCTTTTAAGTGAATAATTTTAGGTGGTGAGCATTAAAGGCATTATAGTGAAATCTGGGATGGTAAAAATTGAGTACTTGAATATTACAGGCTCTTTCTACACATATTATTTAAATTTAGAACTCAGTATTCATCTCAGTAATTCTTAAGAGTTCATCACAGTTATTAGTCTTAGAATATATTGAAACATTTTCTTTATAAAGCTGTTTTCCTCTGGTAAATAAAGTGATCTTAAATCTGTCATTTTTTCCCATAATTCTTACTGTCTGTAATAATCAATTCCATTTTTTTAACCTACTGATTGTGATTTTTTTTTGTTTGTTTAAAAATGGAAAGTTACGTTTTTTCCTGGTTAAGAAATATAAATTAGAGAACTGACCTGATTTTGATATTTTAACCGTTTTCTGTTTAATACTTTGCAAAATGAACTTATCTTGATTTATCAAGAAGAATCTGGGAATGTTCATTTGTTTAAATGCAACTGTAGGAGACCTGAATCTTGGATAGGAGCTGTCGGGCTGTAACAGTACTGGAATTTTTATAGCAGAACCCTTGAGATTTTTTCAAATGAAACTGGGGTAATAGGTTTTTTTCCGCTTCTCTAGAGGTTATATTCTTTCTCTATTAGGGCCTTGCACAGAGTGTTGGGCTGATAATTTTAATCTTTTATTGTATTTTTAATTTCTACAAATTTTGGGGATATATTACTGAACTATTCAGTAGTTGATTTATAACCCTAACATTATTGTTCTAAAGTTGCAAGTTATTTGTTTTCCTGTTAATGTTGACATAGTGTTCAGTGATTTACATTTGTTTTTCAGGTATCTCAACACCCAATTTATTAAAAAGAATAAATTGACAGAAGCTGACCTTCAGTATGGCTATGGTGGTGTAGATATGAATGAACCACTTATGGAAATAGGAGAGGTAGGAAATTCTTTAAATTACTGGCAAACATAAAAATATTTTTATTTATTTAGGTAATGTGATTCACTGTCCTTTTTTTAAGGACACTGAGTTGACTGTCTCATAATTGTTAAGATTTTAAACATCTTAAAGGTTAAGTAAGTAAAATACTGTAACGATTTCCTAAGAATTGTTCGGAGAAATGAGAACAGAAAAGATGTGATGGATATTATTCTAATAATTAAATTAACAACAGATGAAAGAATGATAGAAGGTTAATAGTTATGCTGTGTGACAAAGCTCATAAAAAGTATTTAGAAAATGTTTAGACTCTTTTAGTTAAAGAGTGCAAAGGACATGGACTTAAAAGAGAGCCTAAAAGAGAGTAAAGACAAATTTATGGATATAACAAATTATTTTAACTAAAAAGTAATGAAATTCAGAGTAAAACAAAGTGTGAAGTTCATTTAATTCACTTAAATTCTTGAGGTACAGTGTAAACTTAAATGTGGAAAATTATATAGTACATATACTGATTGTGAAAGAAATAACTCTAGTATGATGTTTGTTTATTCATGTAATACATATTTATTGAGTAGCCAGACACTGAGGAAACAGTGGTGAACAGACATAAAGTCCCTGTCCTCATGGAGAAGCAGATGCCAAATAAGTAAATAAATTAATGTTAAATTGTGATAAGTGTTGATGAAGGAAATAAACAGCTAAGATGAAGCATTAGTAGAAATTAAAATTAGAATACTCCTTTTAGAAAGAAATTTTTTCAGTGCCTTTCAGTAAACTTTAAAATGTTCAATACCTATTAACTAGGTAACCAGGTCTAGTAATCTGTACTGTGAAAATAATAAGTATGGTGGAAAAAAGTTTAAATGTATTCCTTGCAGGCATTGTTAATAAGGATGACTAATGAGTGAACAATTTAAATTTCTAATAGCCAACAATAAAAATCATACATAGAATATATCCAGTAGGATTTTGTTAATAAAGGTAGGCAAATGAATAAATTAGTAGTAGAAAAGAGTTTATAGAAACTTTAACAAAGAAGAAAACTGGGCTCAACATTATATATGTAATAGGAATAAAACTGTAGGGGAGAAAAAGGCCATAGAGAAACAGATCAGTGGGAAATACCAAAATCTTAACAGTGATTGCTTTAGTTAGTAGGATTGTAAGTGAATATTGTCCCTTATCACCAACGCCATCAAGCTTGCTCCCAGAAGAAATCACTATAAACAATTGGTTTATATCTTTCCCGAATTTTACCTGTTCATTTGTATATAAATATACATACATTCATACATAATGGCTTTGATTTTATTTTTTTAAACATTAATGGGGTCATATCATATTTAAAATCTTCTAACTTGTATTTCTTGCTTTTTGTTTGTTGATGTGTCTAGGAGTTCTTTTCATTAAGTTTATTTTTGTAAGAACTTAATATTCTATGTTAGGGATATTAACAATAATTATTAAACTATTCTCCTTAGTTTTCAGTTTTTTGTTATTTTGCATTTTTCTCACTACAGCGAACATTATTGTTCATTTATTAAATATTTTTTGAACCTCTTTGGTTGCCAGGCTCTGTTCTATATTCTGGGAATACAGTCGTGAACAAAGTAAACAAAAATCTTACACTCATGGAGTTACATTTATGTATTTATCTCTCTGTATGCGAGGAGAAATTTTCATAGAGTGGGGTATCTGGAAGTTGATTTTCCGGGTCAAAGTACATCCTGAATTTTGATTGCTCTGCCAACTTACTTTTCAAAGGGCCTTACCAGTTTGTAAGATCACAGCCATAAGATCCCACTTTCTTATAATTGCCTTCTTTTTTTCCCCTGTTCATGTTATTTAAAAAGAAAAAAAAGAAGGCAAACTTGAAGGATGTTCCTTGTAAGAAGACAGATGCTTTTTCTTATTTGAAATGGAATTACCAATGAATCAGAATAGAGTTACCCCAGGAAAACAGAATAGAGAGGCTAAAAACAGACTTATGCCCATGTGGATACGCCCATGTGGATATAGTTCAGTTGGAAACAGAGGAACAAGTAGGTTTTGATACTGGAATAATTTGTACTCTATATGGGAAAAATGTATTGGAGTTTAAAGCCTTAAATGTTAAAAGGCAAAACTTGAAAACTTTTGGAAGGCAATGTAGGCGCACACATATCCATATTTAGGGTAGGGAAGGAGTTCTTAAAAGACAAAATATATAAATGATAAAGGAAAAAGTTGATAAATTTGAGTATGTTAAAAATTAATATATTTTTACTAAAAAAAAAACACTGTAAAGAAACTCAAAAGTCACAAACTATGACAGACTAAAATATATACAACTGTCAAGGAATTCTTTTCTACAATATATAAAGGACTTCTTGATTTCATTAAGAACAAGACAAACATTAACAGAATAATGGGCAAAAGAGATGAATTTTACAGGAAAAAAAACTGAGATGCACCATAAAATTATATAAAGATACCCAGTTTTATTCAAGAAAATGCCATTTTATATCCAACAGATTGGCAAAATTTAACTAATGCCTGGCAGTACCACTTAAGGTCATTTAATAGGAGCTCTCATCCATTGCTTGTGTGAGTGTAAATTGGAAAACTATTTGGCTTTATTTAATAAAGCTGAATGTATGCCTAACCCTATAGCCCAGCATCTCTACTCATAGGTGTATGTCAGGGAATTTCATACTCATGTTTACCAGGAGATAGATATAGATATAGATGTAGATATAGATAATAGATATAGATATAGATATCTATATGTATACATGAATTAGCCTTTTTCTTGGTAGCAAATATCTGGAATCACAAACGTCATCAGCAGTAGGAAGGAAAAACAAATCATGATGTATTTATACAGTAAGATGCTATATAGTAATGTTCATACAAAACAATAGTTATATCTTTCCATTTTGATGGATTTTAATAGCAGTTAAAATTTTTAAAATCATATATTGAAAAGTATACAATGTGATTGTGTTATCAAGGTCAGAAATGGCCAACTTCAAAAATATCATACGGGGATACTTAAACATTTGGTAGAATTATAAGGGAATGATTTAACAAAAATTCAGGATAGCAAAAACCTCTGAGGGAAAAGGAGGACATTTAGAACAGAGGCGACTGTGAGGTTGTATTTCCTAAATAAGGTAGAGAATACGGGGTGTTTTATTTCATTATTGTTTAAATTGGCTTACCCTTTTATGTTTGTATGAAAGGCTTTATAATTTAAAAATCAACTGATAGCCAATTACATCTGTTTTATTCAACATAACTCCTTTGTTCATGTTACAGTCTCGGCACCTATAGCCGCTCCATAATACTGGACATTTAATAATCAAATAAAGTTTTATAAAAATCAACTAAACAGAAAACCTTAATTCTGTTTTTGTACAAGTCAGATATGATGGTTACTGACATTTTAAATTAGAAATTAATTTTCCTTATGTTTATTCAATTTTCATTTGAATTTCAAAATAATAGTTATAAATATGTCTTTCGATGGGTATTTTTTAAAATGTCTTAAACAAATGTTCAAATCAAATACTGAGTAATTCAGCCTTAATGATTTTTATTTTTTCCTGGCAGCTAGCATTGGATATGTGGAGGAAATTGATGGTTGAACCACTTCAGACCATCCTTATCCGAATGCTGCTCCGAGAAATCAAAAAGTGAGTTGCAACATTTACCTTGAATCAATTCTAATTTGCTTGGCTGTTGAGTGGACTTGGCCTTATTTTACTATAATGAGTTTCATTTTCCATCTTAATAACAATATTTAAAATTTGTTTTATAATTATTTTTGGCAGGACTTTGGTCTTTATTTATAGCCTAAACACACTTAATAAATAAGTCACTGAAGGAAATGACTTGTTTTTGAGTACTGAAAGCTCTTGGACCTTCCAGGCAGTGCTAGTTGTTTGAACATATTCTCTTAGTTTAAATCCTGATGAAGATAACCTATTCTAGAAAGCAGATTATTCTAGTTAGGTAGTTAATTCTTAGCCCCAATATTAAATCATTAACTTGCCTATTGTGAGGTAAATTTTTGGGAAAATGTCTTCCTACTCTACTCATGGCTTACAGTGGTTGACTACTTAAGAGCTGTGTGAACAGAGTTTGGGACAGAGTTTGAGCGTACTTTCCTGTGGAGTCCAGAATAGAATATCCTTGGGTTAGCTCTGGCCTAAAAGATTCTTACTAAATACTGGAGAATCAAAAGCACTAAATCGGCTTTGGGGAATCAAGAGTACTAAAAGTCAGTCATGCAGATATGTGTACAGTAAATTTCAGGTTTCTGGAACTGATGTTAAAGGGATTACCGAGAGCAGTGAATTGCAGTGTGATAGTGACCACTCCATCTGAATCTGCTTTCTTTAAGAAGACCCAAATATGGAGATTTTTCTGTGAGGAAAAAAGGCAAAGCATTGTCTTTACTATGGAGCTCCTAGTAGGAGATAAGGGGTTAAAAAAAAGAAAAGCCACGAAAGAGGATAAGAGAATATTTTAATATTTAATGTTAATACCAAATATAAAGTAAATGGTAGCAATTAGTAACAAGTGTGATTGTTAGCTTGTTAAAAATGAATTTGATGAAAAATTAAAATCTAACTGTATAAGAAAAATAATAGAACTATAGTATATTAATTCTGGAAATGACAGATATGTGGTCAAAGATATAGGCCAAATTGTTTTAGTTTTGTTGTTATAATCAGCTTCCATTAAAGTATTGTTTGACACGCTTTACTGATTGATATTTTTCATGTCTGTTAGGTAGGCATTATCCCACATTTTCCAGCTAAAGAAACTAAGGCTTAATAATAATAAAAACTAAATATGGGAACTACGTGCCAAGCAGCGTTCTGAGAGCTTTACATGCATTATCTTATTTAATCCTCACAACCCTGAGAGATTGGTACTACTTACCATTTTACAAATAAAGAAGTCAGTGCTGGTACTCTAACAAGGCTGACCTGACTCCTACCCCTGTCTTCTTAATTCCAAGGATTCAAATCTGGGTTTTTCTAACTCTAAATCCATTATGTCTATCTTTTTAGTCCACAGAATATTTCTTCCACTCCTAGCTCTAGTACTTCAGCTTAATGATGAATACATTTTAGTTTCATAATACTTTGAGTGTTCTAGCGTTTTCACACATATTTCTTTATTTGATCTTAAGGAGGTACAGCAAATTTTATTTATAAGTAAGTAAATTGAACATCAATAAGGAAGAAATGATTTATGGAACTTGATATAGCTAAGGAAAGAGACTCTATGTCTTTAAACTTCTAGTGTGGGTCTTTCCGCTGCATTGCTTTAACATCTGTTTACTGTCATCTGAGCTAAGATAGCTAGATATCATAACTTTCGTTACATGGAGGAGTGACTGTGGTAGATACTCCCTATTTGTAATCTTATCTGATCCTTATAACAGCATATGATGCAGAATATTATCATAGGCTTATTTTACAAATGGAGAAAATGAGGCTTGAGAGTGTAATCAAGTTACTCATGTGACATAACTAGTACTTGGCAGAATGAGAATTAGAACTTAAATCATTTTGGTCCTTATAAGTCTGTGGTCTTACCCATATGTTATGTATTCTTAAAAATAGTTTGTAGTATCTCATGCTACTGCTACTAACAAGGAAATATTTTATAATTGTACTTACAACTTCTTTGTGGAAAGAGCTCTACCACACTTACCGAATAAAATCTTTTCAGATCTAGCAGAGAGTATTGCAAATTTGATTTCTATTAGGATTTCCTTTCCCCATATTTATCCCTGGGTTCCTAGGTAATCTCTAAAAATGTGTAAAGAACATTACTGTGTACTAGTGGTTTCTCAAATCTGGCCTCTGAAATTCAAGCTTATGCAGGGAATGTTTAAAAGTGTATCTTTCCATAAAAAAAAAAATAAAAGTAATATATTTTGCTAATTATAGAAAATTGAAAATGTATAGAAGGTTAAAAGAGAAAAATAAAAAACCTTTTAGTTTCCCCCCAATACCTTCAGTTCTGTTATTTACAGGAAATCACTATTAAGGATTTAAAATATGCACAGATACATACATGTACACATGTTTGGGGGGCTTTTCGAAAGCCTATATATCTGGATCCTCACCTATATCCACTGAAGCATACTCCAGGGAGAGTAGAAATGTCTATTTTTACAAAGCTCCCCAAATATTTATACATCCAGTCCACACTACCATTTATGAAGTACTGTTCTATGCTAAATAATTTTCTCTTCACTTCTATAAAGCTTCTATAAAGCTTTTATTGTTAAAAGATCCCTTTGGGTCATTTTACTATATAAATATTAAGAATACTTGAAAACATGTTCTTAAAAGTTAGTTCTTAAAAGTTAATAGATTAATGATTGGCATGAGCCAGTAATAACGTAGTTTTATATCTTGAATATATTGGCGTTAACATGAATCTGGATGTGATAAAACTGCATAGAACCACACACACACAAACGTACACAAATGATTGTATATAAAAACTGGTGAAATCTGAGTATGATCTATAGATTTTACCAATGTTAATTTCCTTATTTTAATATTGTGTCATAGTTATATGGGATGATGCCACTGGAGAAAGCTGGGTGGAGGGTATACAGGACTGCTTTACATTATTTTTGCAACTTACTGTGAGTTTGTAATTATTTCACAATTAAAAAATAGTTGTTAAAAGTTTAAATAGTGCATAAAATGGGACTTTTCCTTTTACCTAAGACTTCCTTTTCTCTCCTCATAAGTAACTACTGATAATAGTTTGGTTGTATTTTAATATTTATTTAAGTACAGTGGTTTTCATTTTTGGGGGGGAGTCTTTATATTCCTTTAGGAAGATGATGGAGCCGTGACGCCTCCTTATTTAAAAATACTTGGTAAAGTTTTTATTCATTTTGAAATGAACTCAACAGCAAGACAGTCATGATTTAAGCATCTTCTTTCTGTTTCCATATAAACCTCATAAACAACAAGAGTTAAATGACAAATGGAAAAAAATTTTGTGACTTCAGCAGCTCCATATTTTTAACTCTTCCTACCTTCCCCACTGTTTTGACATCAAATAGATACCAAAGTTTTCTACAAGTGTGGCTATGGCTCACTTCTGTTCCATTTGTTAGTCTACCTGTTTGTGCCAGTACTTCACTGTGTTTATTATTATAGCTTAATAAGTCTTGGTGTCTGGTAAGTCAAGTTTGCACTATATAAGCCAGTGTTTTTGCTGCTCTTTTGCCTTTTTTGCATGTACATCTTCTAATCACCTTTTTAAGAGGTGATTATAAGTTGTCTTAAAATTTTTTTTCGTGTTGGATTGAAATGGAATTGAATTTATAAGTCAGTTTGGAGAGAATTTACATCTTAACCATATTAAATCTTCCTATCCATGAACATAGTATGTCTTGTCTATTATTCCTTCTTTAATATCTTCTAATAAGCTTTTGTAACTTCATCTGTAAAGGTCCAGCAGTCTTTTTGTTAGATTTATTTTGAGATATTTGGTATTCTTTGATATTATTACAAAAAATTTGTTCTATATAATCACCTGTTTTGTTTTCTGCTAGAATATAGAAATATAACTGACTTGTATATAAATTTTATATTCAGCCACCTTGTTAAATTCTATTATTTCTAATAATTTCCACATATTTTTGTGTTTTCTATCAAGCTATCATAATCTGTAAAAAAATGATAGTTTTGTTTCCTCCTTTCCTGTGTATGTATGCACATGTGCACACGTGTCTGCATGCATACACACATCATTGGCTAGGACCTCCAAAACAATGCTGAAGGGAAGTGATGGATAACGAGCATCTTTGTTTTACTCTTGATTTTAAAGGTTACATGTATAACATTGCCCCATTTAAGATGATGATTTCTCTAAATTTTTAATAGGTACTTTTATCAGAATGCTGAAATTATTTGGAATTGGTGTTGAATTTTATAAAATCACTTTTATATTTCTATTGAATGATTATATGTTTTTTTCTATTCTGTCAATATGAATTACATTTATGGGTTTTCTAATATAAAATTATCCTTATATAACTGGGATAAACCCAGGTTGATTTTGGTCTATTATTATTTTTATACATCGTTACATTTGCTGGTATTTGATTTATTATTTTGCATCTATATTCATGATTGGAGTGGGCCTGTTATTCTTTCTCACAGTGTCTTTGGGTTTGATATCAGGCTCATCCTTGTAGGGCGTATTATGGGGTATTTCCTCTTTTTCTTTTGAATAAAAGAGTTTGTATGAAATTTGGATGATCAATTTCTTGAGTGTTTAGTAAAATTCCCTGCAAAACCATCTGGGTTTAGGGCTTCTTTGTAAGATTTTTTTAAATAAGATTTTTAACACTGCTGTAGTTTTTTCAATAGTCTTAAAACTAGTCTAATTTTTGTATTTCCTCTTCTTAAGTCATTTGTGAATTATCTTCTCAAAATTGTTGAAAAGTTGCTGTTGTCAGTCTTCAGAAAACTTTTTATTTGAAGTAATTTTAGATTTACAGAAGAATTGCAGAGCTAGCACAGAAAGTTCCTGTACACCTTTTACCCTATATCCCTACTGTCACCATCTTACAACCCATGGGATATTTGTGAACAGTATTGTTAACTGAACTACAGACTATTTGCATTTTGTGTTTTTTGGC